CTCTCTCTCTCTCTCTCTCTCTCTCTCTCTCTCTCTCTCTCTCTCTCACACACACACACACACACACACACACACACACACACACACTATTGAATTTTCAATGATTCAGAGGTATCAAATTATTAATCTGAGAATTTGGACTGAGTATAATGACTAGTTGTTAGTTTTATTCTTCATCTGATTCAAAGCTGAATTGAGTACGGAGAAGACAGTTTAATTTAATTTTGCTGGAGGTCCCTCTAACCATGGTTGGTTAAGTGTGGACCGTATTCTTTTAAAAACTGACTTTACTTGACAAGATAAACGAGTTAGTGAGAATGCAGTGACCCCCCTTGGCTGCCATTTCTCATACACTAGAACTCCTGCTAACACATCTTCAAATTCTATTTACTGTACATTGGCTCACAGATAGGATAATGGATGCTCAGCATGTGATTTGGTATTTTCTACAAAGTGCAACAAAGATTTACTTCATTTGTGAACTTATAGATCTCATGCCTCACATTCACAATCATGGCAATGTTCTGAAAACACAACTAATAATTTTGATTTTGAAATAATGGAAAGGTCAGCTTTCTAAACACCATCTTAAAAACCTTCTGCATTTAAACACATACAGACAATCAATCTCTTTAGTGCATTTGATTGAAACCAAGGGTTTCATAGTAGAAATTGAAGTAAAGTATTTTAGAAATTGCAGGATGCTTACCACCATCTCTGGCTATAACTGTCCAGTTTAAATAGCTATTATGAAATCTGAAATTACAATAAATCTTGTTTTTTCTTATCTTCATATATTGCGTATGCTAATTTCAAGTAAAAGGTGGGAATTTGCTGGGAAGAATGTCACTGTCATGAAATACACCAATAACTATAATTTTGAGTTGAAAGGTGATTCTACTTTCAGAAAACTGAATGTGGAAAGCTTGTTATAAGAATCTCATCTAACATAATCCAAATACAGCAGAGTGTTCCTCTCTGTCCTACATCCTCAATTTCATATACGCTGAAGCCTGGTTAATAAGATTTCATAAGTTATTGTAAGAGTAAATAAAAGCTACACTCTTTTTATAGGGCATGCCCAAATGTTTTAATTGCATTGCCATTTAATTGTATTCCCCTTTTATTAATTGGTACCACTGTTTGAAACAATGCCATACCTTCTTTGTACAGTGAAGACCACCATATCCACGTCTACAAGCGCAAACATTGGGTTGGATGCATCGGCTTCCAAACAGGCATTTTGGTTCACAAAGAGCTGTGACAAACAACACATTTGTATTATTTCTAAACTCACACAAGATATAACTTAAAACGTTAAACATGGTTTTCCTTGGAATCACTTATGGCCTCCATCTCCACGTTTCCAGAAGCAAATGCAAATGTGGCTTTTCTGTAAGGTCTTTGGGGTTAATTGTACTTAGCAATATGACTTTTTATAATTCTATGATGTCTTAGTTTTGTATTCTTAGTTAATAATATCAATTGGATTTTGGACAATGCTTTAATATGACAATCATTCAAGTTTATGCTTCAACTGCTGATGCAGAAGACAATGAGGTTGATAAGTGTTATAATCAACTTCAATTTGAGATCAAAGAATCCGCAAGGAGGATGTGCTGCTTGAGGCTAGAGACTGGAATGCCACAGTTGGAAATATGCAGCGATTCACTTAATAATAGTGGCAAGAAAAGTTGTAAAATGGGGCAAAATTCACTTAACAGCTGTCTTATTTAACAACAGAACTTTTGGGCTCAATTGTGGTCATAAGGCAAGGACTAACCATAGTTGGATTTTGCTTAGAAAACCAAACTGAAGCAGGTTATAATGAGTTATTATTTTCTGCCCCTCCAATAATTTCTTCATAGCTAACACTATCTTCAAATGACCAAAACACCTGCATATATGGACATCACTAGATGAAATACAAAGAAACCAAATTGACTAAATTATTGCTAAAAGGAAGTGGGAAGATCCCAATTAGAGCATCAAAGACTGCGAAACAAATCATGAATTGCTCATGTGCAATTCCAGGTTAAGATAAGGAAGATGGTAAACCAGTCAATTTCTCTGATATGATCTTGAACATATACAATATCTGTTATTTTCAAGGAGAATCTCAGGAATCATTTTAAAGTCCTGAACCTCACCTACAGAGAATCAAAAGAACTATGGAATGAACTTAGAGATGTCACTAGAGATGAATGTGAATTTTTTTTGGTAAAAATGAAAAAAAAAATCCTAGAAGAAAGCAAACTGGATGTTAAAACAGAGCAGAACTTTCCAAGAGAAGATAAGTCAAAGCCAAGAAAGACAATCATCTTAGGATAGAACTTAACAAAGAATCTGAGAGACTTGTGAGAAGATACAATTGTTCTCCCTCAATGTGAATCTCTTCATATGAACACTTTACTTTCATTGACAGTTATCAGGAGTGTTAATCAAGGGTCACTGTTATTCAAGGTATCTATACAAATAACAATGTGTGTGTGTGTGTGTATGTGTGTGTGTGTGTGTGTATGTGTAGAGAATAGCTTTTGTGGATAGAAATGCTTGTTTTTTCATGTTTTATTCTCCTTGTCTTTATCCTACTATCTTGACACAATAGTTAGAGTCATAAAAGAATGCTACTTCTCTATAAGAAAGATACAAGTATTTGATATATGCTTGTTAATGGGCTCAGACTGACCTTTTCAGTTGCAGCAAATGCAGAGATATATTTGAAATGGGATAAATACAATAACAACAATGGCAGCTACTTCTTTTTACAATAGTCAGATTTCTGTTCTTGTGAAAAATGGAAGTCAGTGGAGTAGACAAGCACTGTGAAATTGAGTGGAACCTTTCTAAATACAGGGGCAACAAATGGATGTGAACCACAGTAAAACTAGCTGCACTGAAACTCTATTGACACTGATGGAAACCAATACTTCTCAAAGCTTTTTTTCTATTGTGAATCCTGCAATTTGCAGGCTTGCTATATTAAAGTTCCATAAGCCATCCTTTTTGCTGAAGTGCCCTTATTCTGACTGAAACTGTAGCTGTCCAATTCAAGGAACTAACTGTCAAGATCTAGGAAATTAGATGGTATCCTGAGTAATTCTTTTTGGCAAAAGACTTTTATTTAAAATTTGTCCAAGTATATTAAAGAATTGCACTTTCAATGGGTTCAACAATTATTCCTCTCCATTTTGCTGACAGTTTTCTGAATTACTTTTCTCCCTAAAAATTTAATCAAGCTAGATCCCACAAATTCTGTGATCACTGTATAAGAATGCATGTCTGGACTGCAAATATCACATGAGTATCAGATCGGTATCAGGTTAAAACTGGATTGTGTCAGTGGAATTAATTCATTATTCCATTAAAGTTATTTTACCTTAATAACTGCTGGTAAATCAACATGTGTTGATATTCAGATACAACTTTCTCACATATACTGTAGTCAGACAGATATATATCGGTATATTTCTATGTATATATTTGTATACAACTTTTTCAAATTGTTGGCTGTATCTTTATCAAACATGTAACTTTGTGTGAACTTTGGAATAGAAAATGATAGATATCTGTCAGGCATTAATGGCTATCAATCTGTGTGGTGCTAAAGCCATCTTTGATAGAGATATGAGAAAAATTCCTTTTTAGGCTCAATTCAAACTCTCCTACATGATTCCATATTTTCTTACAATCATGAGTTATAAAAGTTTATATTTTCATTCAGAAATCAGATGTATTTGTGCCTGAAATTATTTCATGCCATTAACCAAAGCTTTTTTTTTTACCAAGTCCCTCAAGTAAATTCATTATTTTTGTTACCTTTACTTGACAAAAATAATGAGCTTACTTGTCAAACAACCATTTTTTAAAAAAACGTAAAAAAACATTTTTGATTAGTTGTTTTCCTGCTTTAATTGGGTTTCTTAGGCTATCAAATCCAACTATACTTTTCTCCTTGATATTTCTAATTTTGGCATTACAATCTCAACAAACAGCAAATCTTGCTTGCATGTTCTATTGATTCACAATGAACTTGATCAAAAACCCATCTACGTTGTGTTCTTCTGTATCAATGTTTGGAACATAAACTTGTATGACTGATGTATTAAAGGGGGCATCCATGAAGTTTAATTAATATTATTCAATTATGATTGCACTGTAGTCAAATACTGTTCTTGTTATAACCTTCTTATGAAAGCAGTGCCATTCCATTTTTTATTTCTTTGGTCCTAAGTAGTAAACAGTGTGATCTTCTGTCCAGAAGTGTCCAATTCCTGTCTATCTCAATTTGCTGATACCTAGGATGTAATGTGTGCAGATTTATGTACAAGTAGTCCTCAATTTACAACAATTCATTTAGTGATGTTCAAAGTTACAACAGCACTGAAAAAAGAGATTTATGACCTTTTTTCGCATTTACAACCATTGCAGCATCCCCATGTTCATGTGATCAAAATTCAGACGCTTGGCAACTGGCTCATATTTATGATGGTTACATGTCCTGGAGTCATGTGATCATCTTTTGTGACCTTCTGATAAGCAAAGTCAATGGGGAAGCCAGATTCACTTAACAACGATGTTGCTAATTTAACAATTGCAGTGATTCACTTAACAACTGTGACAAGGAAGGTTGAAAATGGGCCAAAATTCACTTAACAACTGTTTCACTTAACAACAGAAATTTTGGGCTCAATTGTGGCCATACGTTGAGGACTATCTGTAATCTTTTACTGTGTCGAGCTTTTCCATGTTCATACTCTTAATTCTATCGTTGCAGCCTCAGATTTTTCTGCATGGCAACATCGTCAGCAACTTAACTTTAATCTAGCCACATCATAAACCCCATTATCACTCTGAAAAGTCCTCAGGATATACTCAGTAGTACCTTCGGTGTCACCTGACCTGAGCAGCCCATCATCCAGCATTATATTGCCAATAATTTTGCATTTTCTATCCATAAAGGGCCAAACAATCCAAGAGCACTTCAAGCTGGATTGCACAGCCCTTCCGCTGCTGCCCTCAATAAGCACTCAAAACTTAAGATGTGCTGTTGCAAAGCAAACCATCTATTCCATTTCATTCTCTACGCTTGGAGTTGAGATAGAGAAAGAGACAGAGAGATGGAGAGAGAGGGAGAGAGGGAGAGAGAGAGGGGGAGGGAGGAGAGGGAGAGAGGGAGGGAGGGAGGGATATGAAGGTTCATCAGTTTTGTTTCTCTGATTCGAAGGCCTTGCCAAATGTAGCACACCCATTGCATCTGCATCTGAGTTCTGAGCAACTGAAGAAAAAATTCAAAAGGAATGCAAAGGGGATAGCAGGAGCCAGGGAGGATGCTTTTTCCTTTTCTACCTTGAGCCAAAGACAAATAAAGGAATACACACTCGGTATTCTGTTCTAGCGCTGCTTCTGATTGGCTGCAGCAAATTTCACAAGATCTGAACAAATATGTAGGGAACCTCCAACCCGATTTGTAATTTATTTCTTTTTTCCTCGCTTCAATGAATCTGCAGCAAAGCCAGATTCTAGACTTTTCTGGTAAGCAATAAATTTACCTCTTTTCTCTCATGGTTGAGGCCCATTAATGTATCTGGCCTAAAATAATGTAATGTGATACAATAAATAATCCTTTGAAAAGCCTACACTATTATCAGTCCATTAAAATAAACAAACAGGATGATGACATTTTCTTTGCTAATTCAGTTTGCCTTTCCAAGCTCATTTGGATATATAATTTATTTACTAATGAAAGCAATGTTGGCAAGCTGTTTTCAGCATCTAAAAATATATTGCTATATTAAGGTTGTAAATATGATTTATGGGATTGACCCTTATTTCAATTTCAGCAGTATTCTGCTAGAACCTAGCTATTCCCTGCCTTCATAAAAGTTAAGGCAATGGAACTGCTGATTACAAGCCAGCTCCCCCTTCTCCCTAATTAGCAGTGTGTGCTCTTTTGACATTGTTTTGGCACAAAAAAAAAAAAGAGAGAGAGATCAGCCAATTTATAAGGCACTACTCCAAGAAGAATCCCCATGTCCTATTACTATTTTAATTGGATCTCAGGAGCTGACATTTCGATGATATATTCGTCCACAAAATCTTCATGGAATCCCACCTTATGTTCAGACAATGGTGTTTAAATATATTGCTTAAGTTGGCTGGTGATAATTTCTGGAACAGAGATATGATGGGTCATTATTAAATTATAGTCTACAAAAACTATAAGCATGATGTTGAAATGCAATTACTATCAGTTGTTAAGGCTGATTGTTTTTACACACAGAGAAGTGAAAAGACATATGTTATGTTATGCATGATGAGTAAGTGGAGGAGTGGCGAAGAAGAGAATCGGGTGAATTAATTTTTTTCTTTGCTCATTCTCTCTTTTTGTACTTGGGAATAACTGACTCAGAGAGATATTTTTTCCACTGGATATGTTGGTGGATTAGAAGAACAATAGGTGTGAGTTTGGCTCAAATTGCTGCTTCAATTTGGGTCACATTACATTTTGAAATGGAAAGCACTGATTACAGAAGAGTGGGCTAAAAGAAGCTTTATTTATATGTCAATAAAACATAATAAAGTGTGCTTTAAAATGCATTTTGGGGGATTATTCGACATTGGATTAGGGTTATGCTAAAACAGGGAAGTGCAATAAAATAGAATGCACTTCTATCTATATTATTGGGAGGACAATTTAAAATTTTCAAAAGAAAATTAAAATTAAACATAATATAGTCAAGGGGAAATCTCAATGAATTTTTCAGAAATGTATTTACTTTAAACCCTGGAGTAAGGCAGACATTTTGCTATGTAGTCTTGGCAAAGACGATATTATTAAGTCAAGCTTCTTGTGTTGAAATTAGAATCAATAAAAAGACTTTCCCTTGTGCTGGCAAGAATATTAACTGTAAATGACTATCATCATTGAACACTTTACTTCAAAGAAATGAAGAGAAAATCTAGAATGAGGTATACCAAAGGGGGCAGAACAGGGGAAGGAGATTTAGAAAATTATAAACCTACTGGTTTGACATGTGAATGAAAGTAACATGTTCCTAAGGGGCAAATGAAAGAGTTAGCATATATAACATTATGTTGCCATAGATATTAATCAGAGTAAGGGCACTGAAGTTAATGAGCAGAATGTCTGATTATTCATTATTTTAATAATTTTATAAGATGTTTCAAATATCAGAGCGGATTCAATGTTCTCTACAGCTGCATACCATACAGTGATGCCTAGAATGCCTAGTTGAAATGAATAAATGATCAGTATAAATGGCATGACAAAAATATCTTCTTCTGGAGCACAAAATCCCTTTCTTTGAAAAATATCTTTTTGGATATTTGATGGCTCCTGAAGTGAAACAAACATAAGGTATTTCTCTGTAGGCCATCAAAATATGTATGTGATGAACCATTGAACTACTGCTGTAGTCCATAAAAAATGACTTAGAGGTCCATAAGCTTGATACTCTGATGTTCAGGCGTTCCTAAGACTGGGAAGACCAATTTTATGCCTTCTTTGGGCCAGCACGCTGAAAGGTTTTGGACATTTCTTTCTATCAGTTCAAGCCACTTTATAGTTAGGATTTTTCTTGTAAGGAGAAGATGACGCTTCCTTAAGCTTCTGGAGATATCAAACTATCAAACTAACAAAAACAGTGAAATGAAGATTTGATAATTTAATTTTTTTAAAAGAGCTAGCCTTGAAAAGAGCTAGCCTCTGTTCTATTTTTCATGGTCTTTGACAACAGTTGGCTCTTTTAAGCCAATATTTGAATGATTCACCTTGCTTAGATTAGTTATTCCTCTTTTCTACCCTTGTTATTTCTATGGTTGTGATTTTGCTATTTTGTACTGTGACTATATTCTGATTGTTCAAGATAGAGCGATAATGATCATGCTCAACTTAAAACACTTAATCTTCCTGAAAATGTGTTCTGTGTTTTGTGACAGAGAAGGTGAAAACTGGAGCACATATTGTTAGTAAGGATGACTTTTCTTTTGCTTTCTCCTGATTGCATCGCAAGCTTTTTTTAACAAACTCATTCCAATCAAAGCAGTTTTCAGAAAGTGAATTTTCATAAGCAAATTTGGGGGCTAATTATTGGAGCCATGAAAGTATTTAATTCAGTGAGCATAAGAGAGACGATGTGGACCATACTGTATATTTCAGGACTATGAAAATCATTTTGAAAAAGGTGCTTCAGGACACCTTGGGAGGATATGCAAAATCTATCTCTCTGTTATGTTAAATTAATGGCATCTTTCTTCAGGTTCATGCAGCTTCTTTGGAAGTTACCTCTGGCTATCTCTGTGGGTGCATGCACAACCATTTTGCCTAGCACAAGTGGAATCAGTCAGAAGCAGCCATGCAAGAATGGGAGAAAAAAAAAGATGTGCCTGCTTTAACAATTTCAAATTAAACTTTTTGTATGCGCTGCCATACACTGCTTTCACAGGATTTCTCAGCAGTAATATGCATCATATCAAACAATAAGAGGAATTATTAAGAGAATTCAGTCCTAGATAAGGTGGCAGCAGAAAGTAAAAAAAAGAAAAAATGGATTCCTATTAGCATTCTGTCATTTATTTTCAACAGAAGAATTATCTTGGTCAGCAATACAGATGCTCATGACTTCTCTATGTCTTTTCTGCATAATGTGATAATGAAATTACATTTTACCCATCCAACATAACAAATTGTAAGCATGTTTTACTTGATTTGACTTATGTGAGTAAAATGGAAGAAAGAAATGTCCTTTCCCTGCTTATGCTTAAAATTCCTATCATGCCATTAAAGCTATGAAAACTGACTTTTGGAGAAAGACTGGTTGAATTTAATAGAGCTTATTTCTGAGTACCCACAAGTAAGACTGTTTACCCAGGACACATTGAAGAAAGTTCTTGAAATTAAAATTGGAGCTAGTGGTAAGTCTCACTGTACTTAATAGGGATTATTTCTGAATAGACAAGCATAACATTAAACTATAAAATGACCATTTAAAATTGTGTCTGTACAAGAAAAAAGAAAGAAAGAACCATATATATTTTAGTTGAGAAAAGGAAAAGGAAAAACCGGAGTTAAGATTTTAGTCACATCCTTTGGGAAATTGGTTTTGAGAAATGGTACACAATTTGAGGTATGTATCATGAAATTAGTGGAACTTTTTGAAAAAAAATCTTTGCTGAGGATGTGCAACCTAAGTAGAGTGTTAATTTATAATTACTACGAGATATAATGGATAAAAACTGAAAATTAACTGATAAACCCTGCCATTCTGACACTCTACTTAAGTTATAAAAAATTCCACCAATTCCATTCATTCTGGATATAGAACCGACTCTGCAGTATTCGTATCTTTAAATGCAGAAAAAAACCCTTTTGATTTGGTTTGGATTACATTTTTTTAAAAGAAAGATTAAATAAGGTTTTCCACAGGATGTGAGTTTAACAGCCCTGTTCTTCTGGATGCTCATATTTAAATGCTGCAATGTAAAATGGCATAACCTTCTCAATTTTGGAAGCAGTGGTACCTATGAAATCTGGCTTATTCTATATCAAAATGTGTTTTTTTTAACTTAGCCATATTATATGAACATAACTTTATCTTCTTTTTTAAATAATTTGGGAGCAAGCAAAACTGCATCCATTCATAGTTTGGACAGAGACAAAAAGCAAAGAGAAAATATGAATCATATTCAAAAACCACTTACGAATTTGGCATAGGAGACCTGCCCATCCTTCTGAGCACTGGCAAACATTAGGCCCTATGCATTCACCTCCATTTATGCAGCTGGGTAGACACACAGCTGAAAAAAATAAATAAAGGTGAAGAGAGGAAATAAGAAGATCTTTATGATGGCCCATGAGTTTTAAGTCACTTTACTGAGTGACATGTCGTCTTAGTTTCCTACAGTTATTTTCAAAATAGCTTGATCTCAAAAGAGCTTAATGAGCATTCTTCATGAGGCAATTAGCATTCTGAAATGTCCATGATTAGCAAGTTCCCCCTTAATCTTTGCTACTCTGACTTCTAGTTTCATCTTGGATTTGCTCCAAAGGCAGATTCCCTAGTCATTAAATTTTCATTTTCTATTAAGTCTGAAATCCTTAATTGATTGAGTGATTAACAGAGTAACCCATTAATTTCAGACTGAACATGAGGATATTAAATGGTGCTTTAATCAGATCAGTGCCCTTTGTAGGATGCTGAGTGGCAAAGTTGTTGCAAAGTAGCCTTGTTTACCATGTAAACAATCTTTTAGGCAAGGACAGTTGCTTAAGATTTTTTTTAAAAAAAACCATCATTTGCATATGATGTCCTTCTTCCCTGGCTGAGAAATCATCAAAGATTCATTACAAAACCAGCTGCCCAAGGCTTAAAGGACTGAGGTGAAGACAAAAACAAACAAACAAACAAACAAACAAACAAACACAGCCCTCAAAACTTAGTAATGTTCATATTCAGACATGTGGGTATCTTTATTTCTTTATTATTTAATAAACCAATTTATAAACTGACCATCACAAAATAAGCAATTCTGGCTGGCATATAACAGAACTAAGCACAGTTAATAAATCAAAAACTGTAAGAACCAACTAAAACAAAGAATAATAGACATAGGGAAGTTAAAAATAGCAGAGTTACCTCACCAGTTCACTCATCTCCTGAAGTCCCCAGGCATACAGGAATAACCAAGTCTAAAAGTTGCCTAACAGACTGACAGTTTTTTCCAGACAGAAATGAAGGACATTTATGGTTACACTGGGAAGCCTAAAAAGTTGTATTAATTTGAATGATCTGCCTCTTCTTCTTGCCCAAGAAAGTATAGACTCTTGAAACATGGTATTTCAAAAGGAACCTTTTATTGAGAAGAAGTGATAGCAGAACAGGTGAAGCAGACTCTAAATTCCCTCCCAAATTGCCCAGTTAGAAACAGGGCTCTAGAATCCATCCCTCCAGTCCAAATGTAGATTTCAGCCAATCCACAGAAGTGAAGATGTTTATTGTAATGGCCGTCCTGAGGACCAGAAAAGGATCCGTTCCCATGGTCTTCTTCCGCTTTCAACCAACTGACACAATCCACATGGCCCTCCCTTCTTATTTCATTCCAAAGAAGGTGAGAATACTGCAGGGTACTTAGGCGCCAGGAAAAAAGTTGTAAAATACAGCTTATCCCCATGCTCCCTGCCTCCCTCCATTTGAATGGCAATATCATGTTAGGGATCTGACATGAAATATCAACAAATAGCATATTTGAATCAGAAGGGATTCAGACTCACGTATACTACAATGCTTTCCTTTCCAGCCAAATGGGCAGTCACAAACGTTGGGCCTGCTGCATCTCCCACCATGCATACACATCGGATTGCAAATACCTGCAGTGTCACAGAATTAAAGACAGGTGTCACGTGAAAAATAGTCAAAACTTTTTTTCTTTCTTTCTTTTTTTCTAAAGTAGATTGTGTGTGTGTGTTTGTGCAGTTTCATAATGGCAGCGTTTTGCATAATTCAAAACAAAATGTAATTTGAGTGTGAAGAGCAGTTTTAAAATTTGGGGATTTGCAAGCTTTAGTAAATCCTTCTAGAATCTGCTGAGGTCCACTGTGTGCAAGAGACATTTCAAGGAGTCTTCAGTAAGAGCTGCCTCGCCAAAGGAATGAGAGAAACATTAATTACAACAATTCTTGAATAAGTAAACAGGAAATCTTTGGTGGCAGCTATAAGGCAGGCCAATACCACTGACTACTGCTGATTGCCAAATTCTTGTTAAGACCATTCCCCTCCTGATTAGAAAACATATTCTCAAGCATTCATCTGGATCAGCTAGAGGTGATGGAGAATTGATTAGTTTCAGACAATTCAAAAAAGCTTTTGCATTTTATCCATCAAGAATAACAGACAAGATAAGGATAGAATTACCAGAAGGAGTTTTTTGTTTTTTGTTTAGATAGAAAAACAGATTCAACATTATTTTTTAACATTTATTTAAAAGTCCTCCTTTGGCCAATGAGATGAGTGCAACTTCTAGTATCTGGGGATTTGATGAGATGGCCACAGCCAGCTATATCTACTTTCACTAAATTAATGTGCTGGGAATTAACTTCTAAAAGAATAAAACTGGAAACTGACAGCTGATAATAAACGAACAAATTGATTGCATCCACATTTACATAGAAGATGGTTCTACAGATTTAAAAATACTTTTAAGACTAGGTCTACTATAAAGTAGATGCAAATAAGCAAGCACACACCTAAATGTCAGCAACAAGGTGCAGACAACCCTAACCATTAATTGAACCAAAGTGATCACTTTGAATTACACAGCCTAGATATGCTTTTTTAAAAAATGCATGTGTAGCATTATAACCCTAGACCACCATCCTACTTATAAGATTGTAGCATCTGTCTCAAATAGTAAGTAATCTGAGAACCTGGAAGACACTAGACAGTTAGGCAAGCCATCAGGAAGTCCAATGAAGTTCACATAAATTTCATACATAGAATTCAAATGTATTTTTAAAAAAATCATTCACACATCTGACTACCCAGTAAACTTTTAAAGCTTCTGACTATTTTTTTTTTAAATAACTGTTGTTCTTTATTGACCTTGGTTGGGTTCTAACACAAATAATGGTTTACATGTAGTTAGTGCAGGGGTGTCAAACTTATGTTGTCAAGGTGTCATCATGTGATGTATTGCGACTTTTTCCCCCTGCGCTAAACCAGGCATGGGCATCGGTAGCACGTGACACATCTGGCCCGTGGGCTGCGAGTTTGACAGCCCTTGTATAGTGAGATAATGCTGGAGGACTGGCCATAAACCATGAAGTTTGGCTAGACTGGTCAATGGTTAGAATCAATCAAGGCCAATTACTGATGTTCACATTCTTCACTTTTGATTACCATCCTATCAACTTCTTTTGAAACTGACAATCAGAAAACATCTTGAACTAGATTTTTCCATATTCTGTTTATAAAAGGCATGGGGAGAGAGCAAGGGCAAATGAGGCAAGCTTTGGCCATGATTCATTCTCCAATTCAGCAGTGCCAACATTTTTTAATGGAGAAGAGTTCCCCTGTCTTTTCCTAATAAGAACAACTTTCAAGGTCCTTCCTCTGGGGAAAAGTTCATGCTTTTCAAATTCAGTTCTCCAATCTCTAGCTGCCTAATATAAATAAAAATCAAACTGAACTAACATTGGCTTTTGGAATGAATGAGATAACTATTATTTATTAAAATGTGCATGGTGTTATCGAACTCATGAGCTGCAAGTTAATTCTGGAATTTTCCTTGACTGCATTGTAACACAGATTCTGTATTGTCCATTGCTCATCATTATATAGTGTTTTAATGGTCTCCTATTAACTATTATTTTCATTTACATATAATGCGCCTTTCACTGCAACTGCCATCACTGCAACAATTAGTTGTATAATAACACAGAAAACAGAATATTTTTTTTAAAAAACAATCCATTCAAAATAAGTGACCTATAAGAAAAAATAACTTTACCATAATAAATGTTCCTAAGAGAAATATCATTTATTAAACCGAAAAGATACTGACAATTATATTTTTCCATGAAAGATTTTAAAATGTTTACTTTTACTTAAAATCAAAAGCATTAAGAATCATTAATAAATATTGAATAAAGAAAATATTCACTATTTATTGATTTCAGGGTCTCAGCTGAATTAGCGCTTTGGATAGGTTGAAACATTTCCTTAAAATTCCTAAATATTCCCCATCTTTTTTCCCCATGTTTTTCTTGTTAGCTGCCACTATATTCCTTTTTCTCCAATTTCTTTGGAGCACTGTTTGATTCTGCAAATGGTGACATGAGTAATCACAGCCATTTGAGAAACACAATGAAATAGTAATGGTCTATGTTTATAAAATATTACTAATGCAGGGATATTTGCTAACTGGGCAATAATAAATCCCAGTCATAATTCACAGCAGAACAAAGAAAGATAGGCCAGAATTGACCAAATAGGTAGAAACTCAACATTATCAGTTGAAATGTCCAAGGACAGCCAACATTATCTTTCTCTACTGATCACACATGACTGTCGCAAGCACTGTCACAACTTCAGATGGCTAATACTTCCCTTTGCAGCTGGTGAAGCCACATCTTCAGCTAGGCAGTCAGCCTGGGTTCTCTCTTCTGACTCTGGAGCCAGGTTATGTCACTAAAGTTGCACTAGGCACAGAAGCACTACAGTTCCTTGGGTGTAGTGCAGGGCCACAGTATCAGCCAACCCCATTCATTCATTCATTCATTCATTCATTCATTCATTCATTCCTCCATTCAGAGGTGGGTTTCAGCAGGTTCTGACCAGTTCTGGAGAACCGGTAGCAGAAATTTTGAGTAGTTCGGAGAACCGGTAGTAAAAATTCTGTCTGGCCCAGCCTCCATCTATTCTCTGCCTCCTGAGTCCCAGCTGATCTGGAGGAAATGGGGATTTTGCAGTAACCTTCCCCTGGATTGGGGAGAGAATGGAGATTTTACAGTATCCTTCCCCTGCCATGCCCACCAAGCCACGCCCACCAAGCCATGCCACACTTACCAAGCCACACCCACAGAACTGGCAGTAAAAAAAATTGAAACCCACCACTGCCTCCATTCATTCAATTTCTATAGCCACCCATTTCACTCCAATTGACTATGAGAAGCATGTCTATGCTTCTTGGCAGATCTGGTTGATTCAACTCCAGATGTTATGCTTAATGTTGTATGACACTAGACTCGTGAAGCTTATGAGTTTTCATTGCCTTTGTTTTCAGTGCCTTGATTTTTCTTACTGAAGTGGTGCATTTCATCCCATGCAGCAGTACTGATCCAAGCATCCTAAGCTTCTTCCTATCCCACACATTTCCATTTGGGCCAGATGTGGTATTTCAGTATTTAGTGTGAGAAATTAAGTGCAGAATCCTGTACAGAAAGAGTATTAAATCAGGTTGCTGATCTCCATTATGACCCTTTTGTCTGGGCTATTTCAGAAGAACTGAACTTAACTAACCTTTCCCAAAATATAATTTAGATTCTGTTAAGCCGTAGTACAATGATTACCTGTCACTGCATCACCTGAATAATATAGGAGATAAGGGAAAAACAGGACTGTGCTGCTGTGCTGAGTTGGAAGATATCGTTTTAAAAACATTGGATTTTTTGCCCCCCAGAAGGCTGGTAAATTGACCTCAATAATCTATCCCACCTCAAAGAAAGCAAGAGGTTTCCTCTAAGCAATATATTCTAGCCAAACAATTAAATGTATCAAATGCAGCTCCTGGGTGCTAATGCACCCCAAATATTGGATAAAGGGTAGAGCAGAAAGATAGCACAGCACATATTCTTGAATTATTTTCAACAGCAGTGATCAAATTCCTTCAACAGAGAATTATTTAAGAAATATCTCACAATCATGGGGTTTCACAACTCAGCCATCTAATTTTATGTAATTTAAGTTTTTGGTATCTTGGTCAGAAAGGAGAATATTAAAATGAATGATGTATTTTCATTGAAAGTACAACAAAAAATACGAGACTCGGAACTGTTAATTAACAGCAGATCAATACTAACCAAAATAACGTTTCTTCGTGTCTGAGTCTTTATGAAGGTCAATGTTTGAAAGTAACATTTGAAATCATACTTAAATAAATTGATTACTTTTTCCTTTAGTGAAAGTTGATTTATTCCAATTTACAGCATTGTAATAGATCAGAAACCACAATAACAAATTAATATTTCACATTAAAAGCTTATATAGGAGTCTAAATGGAGTAAACTACTCCAAAGAGAGATGGGACAAACATACACATATTGTTATGACGACTAGCCCAAATGAATCCACTGCAGAATAAAAACCTCTTCATTGAAGGTTGTAGACCATAATTTACCATATTGGTCCAATGTGGGTTGAGGGCAGGGGTGAAATGCTTCTGGATCGGGCTGGATCGCCTGGTCCGGTAGCGATCTTGGCTGGTGGTTCGGTGATCCGGTAGCGATGGCTCCGCCCACCTGCCCAGGTGTCATTACTTCCTAGTTTTAACCAGAAAGTAATGTGTGTTTTACCTTCTGGGCATGTGCAGGTTTTGCACATGCGCAGAAAGTCTGCACGCAGCACGTATGCTTCTGAACCGGTAAGGAAGATAAGTAGATTTCACCCCTGGTTGAAGGGTCCTTGGTGCTCCCTGAGCTTGGTTGTTTTCTTGCAGATGTTTCATTACCCAAACTACAGCATATTATCAGTGAGCATTGTTACTTATCTAATATCAGTGCTCACTGATGATGAACTGTAGTTTGGGTAATGAAATGTCAGGAAGAAAACAAGCAAGCTCAGAGAGCACCAAAGACCCTTTATTTCAACTCTG